AGCAGAGGCTCTACACCACTGAGCCACAGACCCTCCTACTTTCCCTTTCGCCCAGGACAGAACTAGATGCCTTGAGAACCCACCAAATTCAAAGCCCCAACCCAGCAACCACAAAGACAAATGTCATCCTATGCATATTGATTCAAAAGTTAGTCCCACTTTGTTCAATGGGACTCTCAGATAAGCATGCATGGGACTGAAGACTAAGCAGTGTGGAGGAGGTGTGGGGTGGGGGACTGTTGGAGAGGATGGGCCCTTTACGTCCATCCCTAGCGCGGGGCCTGCAGCACACCTGTCCTCCAGTCCTTCCAGCAGTGGCACCTTCAAGGTAGGAACCACCTACCAGCCGCAAGCCCCACCAGGCAATGCCTTTGCCCATTTTTCTGCAACACAGGGTGTGTACCACATATTGGGGAACAGTGCTCAGAAGAGCCACAAGCAGCACGTCCAAGAGCCACATGTGGCTCTTGAGCCACTGAGTATCCCTGGCTTAGATGAACATTTAAATCAGGGTATAGTAACAAAAGAGAGCGACTTTCCCTGGCAGTTGGCGGTATAGATAGGGTTTCCCATTTTCTGTAAGTGCTACTATAATATCTCGTATTCTATTGTACCAATCTTGAATAGATGGAAAGCTTTTTTCCTTCAATTTTAAAAAGCTAGTTGCAATTTTTAAAAGCTGTTGCAGAGGCTTGAAAGGAAGGATAAGAAAGTGATCACAGCAGCACTGGGGAGGGGAGCTACTTTTAACTGCCTGGAGAGTGACCAATGACTCCGAAGTGACTGTCTGCTAGCCCCTGCCTTACAGTGCAAGTTCTGTAAGAGTAAGAGGAATTGTTAAAAGAGGGAAGAAAGACCAGAAATGTCACCCTATTCATAGAAAATGACAAGAGTGCTAAAAATATACTATCAGAAACATAAGGCTGTGGATTTTGAAACTGTTCTGAATACTCCCTCCCTCCCTCATTGAATGCCGATTTCTACTCTACAGTTACTTTGTGCAACTAGAGCATCAGGAAATAAAGTTTCTCAAAGATTTTGTCTGGAACAGTTAATGAAATATTCCATTTCAAATATACCGAGAAGATGGACACACGGATCTCTCAGCATCATGCCTAATTTGGCCCTAAGCAGCCCCATAACCAGAATTTTTTTTGTTGGGGGGGGGATTGGACCTGCTGGCGAGGGTTGGGGTGAATTTACCATTGCAGCTCCATCTACGTGGTGGTTTGCTCCGAACCACTTATGGTAGCCTGAGCCACGGTGGGACTTGAGAAATAACCTCAAGAATCTCAACCTCAAAAAGACTCCCTAAAATAGCTATGCAGATAAACGAGTCACGCTGGGGAGGGCGAATAAATTAGTGAAGACTGAACCCTCTGAACGAAGCCACTGCAATCAAAACTTTGGAATGTATGATCAAAACTCTCAGTTACAAAAAAACCTGGATTAATTAGAGGCAGGGCCAGACTACGCTAAACCTGTCATCTGACCGCAGCCCTGGTCCTTCTTTCAGGCAAATATTTTGCACCCCAGTAGGTGGATTATGAACTGCTTTTGACTGCAGCCATGTTTTGTGTGGAGTCGTTTCTATAATGTATGTTGGCAGATGGGAAGAAAGCACGCGAATGAACATTTGACCTTTTGTTCTGTGCGTCATTCCGTTCCACTTTAAAGAGCTCTTTTATCTCTCCATCACACTGTTATCCCTCTATCACAGTTATTCCACCACAGCACACCTGGTTCTCCCATCCTCCATTTCACCCTCTCTATATCCCTGTGAGCCCTGACCTGGCTAGCCCAGGCTAGCCTGATCTCGTTGGATCTTGGAAGCTAAGCAGGGTTGGCCCTGGCTAGTATTTGGATGGGAGACCTCCAAGGAATACCAGGGTCGTGTTGTGGGGGCAGGCAACAGCAAACCACCTCTGAACGTCTCTTGCCTTGAAATCTCCACAGGGCCACCATAAGTCTGTTGTGAGTGTGTCTTGATTGCACACACACACACACACACATAACCCTGTGAGGTAGGGTCACGGTCACTTCCCTCTATTTTCTTACCGCCTACTCCCCTCTTTTGTCACTGTTGAGTCATGTGCATTTCCCCAAGCTAAAAAAGTGAGCTCGGAAGAAAAAGGAACTTTTGCTAGGTTTCTCCAGTTGCACCCAGGAGGAGGCCACGATAAAGAATGTGGACAGCTCCTTGAAACCCAGGCTGCCAGAAGGGAAGGCATCTGTTCTGACAAGTGTTTCAAGCCTGTGAGAGCACCTTACACAGATATCTCTAAATCTTATTAACCTACAAGCACAATCAGGATTGCATATTTACCTGAAATTAAGTCCTGTATTAACTAAATGTCGTTAGGACTACAGCCTTATGCAGCGTTAGATATTTAGCTACAAAAAGGACAACGATTAGAAGTTGGATACGTCTTTTTCCCCCTAACACACGGGTAACTAACTACAAATGCCACTACTTTTGTCACTGTTGAGTCATGTGCATTTCCCCAAGCTAAAAAAAAGTGAGCTCGGAAGAAAAAGGAACTTTTGCTAGGTTTCTCCAGTTGCACCCAGAAGGAGGCCACGATGACGAATGTGGACAGCTCCTTGAGACCCAGGCTGCCAGAAGGGAGTGAAAAAATTCTAGTGAAGGCATCTGTTCCGACAAGTGTTTCAAGTCTGTGAGAGCACCTTACACAGATATCTCTAAATCTTATTAACCTACAAGCACAATCAGGATTGCATATTTACCTGAAATTAAGTCCTGTATTAACTAAATGTCGATAGGACTACAGCCTTATGCAGCGTTAGATATTTAGCTACAAAAAGGACAACGATTAGAAGTTGGATACGTCTTTTTCCCCCTAACACACGGGTAACTAACTACAAATGCCACTACTGTGTCAGATCCATTTTGAGAGACGACTCAACTAGCCTACTTTCCACAGTCCAGATTTTTTACTTCTGAGCAAATATAAGTAACTTCGTGCTGCACCTTGAAGAATTACTCTTTTACTCCTTTTCTTCTGCCCAGCTCTGGCATGGAAAAGAGTAAAGCGACTGAACACTGTCTCTCTGCTCCCTGAAAACTGTAGACCATTTTGGTTCACTGGGCTTAGAAGCCAGAAGATGCCCGACTCAAGACTTTCTGAAATGGGAGATTACCTTTGGACCGAACCGCTCAGGTCAGAGAGACTGTGGACAGAATGACCCTTCAACCAGATACCCAGAGGTAAGACTGACATGTTTTTTTCTGGCAAGGGCCATGTGCCTTTAACAGCCATACAATGGGCAGAAATTCAGCAGGTGAAGTTCTCCTATGAAACAGATACATTGACTCGCAAAACTTCTGCATGCCACATTTTTATTTGATTCTCCTCCTCAGTCTTTAAACAGACTGAGAAACAAAAAATTACACAGGTGCCATTTCCCATACCACTTTATCCCTGTGGTAGGAAATACACCTGGATTTCTTTGTCGGGTTGCTGTTGAGGGCACACGATTAGGAGCAGTGAAAACTCCATTTGGCACACAGCTGTTATAGGTCCTTTCTGCACTTGGATCTCATCCCTGGTTTTATCAGAGTTCAACTTGTGACATAATACCTTGCATTTATCCCTGGTTTATAACAGTATCCGTTCATCCCAGGACAAGTGTGGGGAGAAACCGGGGTGACCTCAATGTAATGTGGAAACAAAAAAAACCCCAAGATAATTACAGGGGTGAACTCAAGTGTAGTGTAGAATGTAAAAATACCCTGAGATAATTACAGGGGTGAACTCACGTGTAGTGTAGAATGTAAGTTCAGGGACAGGGTTGAACCAGGATTTAAGGTCTAGTGCGGAAAGGACCCTTAAAAACAGCAGCCCAGTCAATTCTAAATAGAGTGTTAAGTCGCTCGCTTAACAAAGAAGTCGGAGAGTGATTCAGCAAGAGCACAACTTTATTCTTCAACTC